TGGTCCAGTGGTGACGATTTTTGTTTTCCTTACATGAAGCTGCAACCCATACTAAAGGCTGTGGTCTTTGATCTTCATCAGTAAGTATTTTAAACCCTCTTCGCTGTTGTTAAGAGCTGTCAAGTCGGTTCTGACCAATAGCAACCCTATATAGGGTTTCTGAGGAGCAGCTGGTGAACTTGAACCGGCCTTGTAGTCCAGTGTATTAACCCACAGCACCAGACCAGGACAGATTGAATAAGCATGGTGAAAGAATACAACCCTGGTGCACAGCTTTTAAACCATTGTAAACCATTCAATGTTCCCTCATTCTGTTCAAACAGCTGCCTTTTGGTCTATGTACAGGTTCCTCATAAGTACAATGAAGTGTTCCAGAATGCTCTTTCTCTGCAATGTTACCTGTAGTTTGTCATGATCCACACAATCTTTGCATAGTCTGTAAATCACAGGTAAACATCTTTCTGGTATTCTCTGCTTTAAGCCCAGATCCATTTGACGTCAGCAATGATATCCCTCGTTCTATGTTCTCTTCTGAATCGGGCATGAACCTCTGGAAGTTCTCTGTCAATATATGGTTGCAGCCATTTTTGGATTATCTTTAGTAAAATTGTATTGCATTTGATATGAATGCTATTGTCTGATGATTTCTGCATTCCATTGGGTCACCTCTCTTTGGAATGGGCTAAAATAGTAGCGTTGCAGTGAGGGTTACATAAGGTCATGTATGGGAAACGGCTCGAGTGTTGCCTGGCTCAGAGAACACACTATTAAGGCCAATCCTCATTTTCCCCCTTTCAACTCAGCTTGATGAATTTTTGTAAACGTACCCCTCATTATTTTTCTGATGGAGAATAAATTAACAAAATGAGACTTTGCCTGTGGTCTGTGGCAATAACACATGTGAGCTATGTTGTCGGAAAAGGATCTGCTTCTTCATGCTTTTTGGAATTACCTGAATTTTTATAGTGAGGAGGCACTCTTTGTAAATCCAGGACACACAAAGGGTATTTCCCCTGTAGTAAGAAAGGGCTGGAAGCAATAATGGGAGGGCTCAAAACTCTTACCTTACGGGCTCTACAGGTCAGAATGTTCCTTCCCTGCCTTGTCCCTTGAGATCAGGGGAAGTCAAATCATATCTCTCTGGTGCCTTCTGGCATTGGGACACCTGGCAACTGGTTCCAAGGCCATAACCTAATTCAGCCACGTGGCTCAGGTCTATAGGGAAACCTCATCATCCTCACCCAGACAGAGCCATGTAGGATGCTTGGAGCTGGGCTCTTCGATACATCAGCCTTGTGTCATCCACCCAAGGCACCAAGACAAGCCAGCCTTGAATGGCAGAAAGGGAGTGCTGATGTTGTCGAGGGTGTGTCCTGCAGGGGCCCAGTCAGACCTCCTGCTCTGCTCAAACTTGCCCCTTCTGCTTCCTACCGGTGAGGGCAGGACACAGCCCCTCCAGGAGCCCTGGACAGCCCATCACAGCACCAGGGAGAGAGAGGTGACTTTCTCTTGATGCAGTTTAAAACAGAGCTTTAATACGAAAAGGCTGAATTCAGAACAGGCCTGTGAAGCTGCGGAGCCAGGCAGGGACTGGAAAGTCTGGCTTTTCTTAGAGGAAGAGGACAAGTCAGAGGATGTTTCAGCAGAATCCTGTGGTCTCTGGAGGGATTTCCCTGGTCAAATACTGTCGTCTTCCACAGTGGCGGCCTTGTAACAAAGTGCAACCACAGAGCCAGGCTGTGCCAGGATGCCACATAGTGTGGCCAGGGAAGAGCCGGTGCCTGCTGTGGACAAATACCGCATTCCACTAAGTCCAAGGAATTCAGGTTTCCATGATTTAATATCTCTGAAATCCAGATACATCATGTAATTGATGTCATCCTAGAAGCAATAAAATATCATCATTGCCCTACAAATACTTTCTGAGAAGCACAAGTTAAGGGCTAAGAACATACAGAAAGGAGCTGAAATGATCCATTTCAATAGGGAAAAACAGTGGGAGAAAAAACATGTGAACCTAAGGGCTCATTTGCATTCTGTCGGACACAGCAAAAAGAAATGATAGAGAACCAGATTAGATACTTAATTATAACAATTTCCATCTTTCCGTCAATTCACAGTTCACATAGACATTTTGGTGGTGTTGGCACTGTGTTACAACTATCTGTAAACCAAGTAATTGAGGCGCTATTTAAATTTTTTCCAAATTAGATAAATTGTTCCAATCACTTAAGCAGTTCTGACAGGCAAATCATAATATCGCAGTGTTGAAAGAACAGTTACGATTCACATGTTGTTGTTGTTAAGTGCTGTTGAGTCGGTTCTGACCCATAGCGACCCTGAATAGGGTTTCCGAGGCTATAAACCTTTACGGGAGCAGAAAGCCTCATCTTTCTCCCACGGAACAGCTGGTAGTTTAGAACTGCTGACCTTGCGGTTCACAGCCCGATTCGTAACCACTGCGCTACCAGAACTTCTATGGTTTAAAAAACAAAAAACAAAACAACAACAACAAAAAAAAGCACCTAAAGATTTTGACTACCATTCATATAGTCAAAGCCTTTAGGTGCTTTTTTTTTTTTAACATTGTAAATTGAGTGCAGGTTTACAGAGCAGATCATCAGTTTTACATTCAACAAATTATACCCTTGGTTTCATTTCAATGATTGTAATCCCTTCCATGGAATATCAGTTATCCCACTTCACCTTCGTGATATGTGTTTCTATTCTTCCTCCTTTCCCAACCCTTCTGAACTTTGTCTTTGGGTAAATGCTGCTCTTTTGACTTGGAATTGTTGACCAGTCCATGGTGTGCATATTTCACTAGTGTTGTTGCCCTCACCCCCATACACCTATCTATTATATCTATTGTGGTTAAGTGCTGTCGATTTGGTCCTGACTCATAGCGACCCTGTATAGGGTTTCCAAGGAGCAGCTGGTGGGTTTGAACTGTCAATCTTGTGGTTAGCAGTACAGTGCTGATCCTACAGCGCCACTCCAAGAGTCTATTACTTGGCTGAAAATAGAGCCAAGAGGATGAGCTCAGTTCCAGACCTGAAGGGTGACCCGGGGTGGGCCATAGTCTCAGGCTCCTCTAGTCTCTTTCTGACTAGCAAGCCTGGTTTTGGTCCTCATTTCTCCCTCAATCTATTCAGTACCTTCTGATGTGATTCCTTTCAGAACAGTCAGTAGTGGTAGCCAGGCACCATCTAGTTTTCCTCAGGGTTGTGAAGACACACTGCTAGGGATAGATTTATATATTCTATTGGACTAATTGATTCCAAGCATCTTTAATTTTTATCATTCTTCATTTCTCCACACAAGGAGAGACCGTTTGTTGTACCTTAGATGGCCGCTCATGAGTTTTTTTGTTTTGTTTTGTTTTAAGGGGTGATAGGAGTTTATTGAATTATTGAATTAAATTTTTCTGTTTACAACTAAGAGCACATCTACATACTAATTAGCTAGTCTACATGGGTACATTATATCCAAATTTGTTTAAGACTTATGATGAATGGGCTCAATAATAAACACACACACACACACAACACACACACTCACACTAATTGGTTTTAAAACAGTAATGCATATATTATACTCTCCTCCTGTAAAGTCTGCTTTGATTCCAAACCCTAGTTTCAAAGATCAGTGTCTGATTTTAAAGATGAATCAAGATACATACTATATGATTCTAAACGCTAGTCATATTGTACAGTTGCCATCTAATTGGACTACAGTATATAAACTCTAGTCATTTTGTACAGTTGCTATCTTATTGGACTATAGTATATAAACTCTAGTCATTTTGTACAGTTGCCATCTTATTGGACTATAGTATAGAGTTTTTAAAAGACACTGATGAGTGTGGGCACCATCTGGTATTAACTTTAACCAGACAGCTGCCTTTTTCGCCCCTCCCTCCCAAACTTTGGCCAAGAATTCTACATTGTGAAGACTGAAAGGGTCCGGTGATACTTCAGAATTCATTCCATTAATGCTTGGAAATAACAAAAGCAGGCCCACATCCTCCTTTCATTCTACCACACTACACAACTCGCAGATGGTTCTGAAATTAGAACATTTACCACTGTACTTAAAAATGTAGGGATATGGAGAATCAGCTAGAACAAGGAAAAAGGAAGCAGGGATGAATGGGTAGGGAGGTAAACGAAGAGCCAAGCTGTTCTGTCTAACACCAGTGGACGTGTGCTTTAACTAAAACAACTCTGGAGGCCAGCAGCAACAGACCTGCTCAATTCACCTTCCAAATCAGAATAAGACTGAGAAGCTCAGGTCTGAGTTTGCTCCTCTGCATAGGTTCCACCGGTGATGAGGAGCTCAAAAGCAGGATCTCTACTCCTTCTGCACAACACGATGGACGTACACAGCACGCCCAGCAGCTGAAGAGCCGCAAATGCTAGTGCTGCCCAGATACCATGCATCATAATGTCTTGTAGTTTTTTCACAACTAGAGCCTCCCACCCCTCAGCATAGAGATCAGTGGGGTGGGCCAAGCTGCCATTACAGCTGCTGGTAGTCTCTCTGCAGAAGCTAAGAGGGACACTCTGGTTTTTGGTTTCTTTGAACCAGTCTGTATTTTCCCAGTCTAAGTAGTTGTCAATTCCACTACAGTGCAGCTGTCTTTGTACATAATCAATATCCCGGCTAGCAGCATCAGGATTGGTTCTATTGTAAGTCTTGTACACTCTCTGAATGCTGCGACCAACTTCATTTTCCACCTTTGCTCTGTAAATGTATCCCAAAACAACAACAACAACTTCTGTGACAAAAACCAAGAGTAGGATGTGAGTATGTATACATCTTTCAAAGAAGTGATCGTAATCGTCATAAGTGATCAAGACATAGGCTCCCACATAGCATAAGATGCCTGCCAGAAGATGAGGTTGAGAAAGACCAGCACAGTCTTGGAGGAGGTGATGCCACACTGGCCCATTGTGCTGGTGGCCCTCTGAAGCCTGGCTCAGCAACCTAGGGTTGCATGCACCGAGCAAGGCAGCAGGCAACGCCTCCCTGCTGGAAACAGCAAGAGCAGCGAGCCACTCTGCTCCCCGCAGCCCTGGCGACACTTACCCTGGCCCCAGCAACCTTGAGCTTTTATATTCCTCATAAAACTAGAATGTAGAACATTGTCATGCTAAATGACCAAGGTGTCCCTGAGACTATGGTCCTGAGCCCCCAGACCCAGCAATGAATTCCTTCCAGGTATTTGGTAATGTCTAAGAAGTTTTCATAATTTTGGTCCCTGTATGGTCTGCCACACAATAAATATTAATATATATATATATATATATATTATAGAGACTTTTTTTTATCAAGTCTTAAACAGGATTAAAGAGACAACACAACAAACATAGATCACTCTGGTGAGAAAAGTCATTGATATAGCATCATGATGAGTTTCCAAAGTTCTACCATCACACAGAGTACAGAGAACAGGGATCTCTCACAACCACAAATGATGGCAGCAAGGTGTTACGTACGCATGCCGAGCCAGATTGTCTCTGAGACTCTCGGCGTATGACATCACAACAAAATGACCATTAAAGCAGCCATTAAGGGGCATGCACAGGAAAGTTTCTGTGAGGTATGGCTGGGAGAAGTGGCCCCAAACCCACTTTCAAATACACTCTGCTTCTAACTCTGGCAGTTCAGCTGTCAGAGGTGCGTGAGGTACTCAAGAAAAATTGGCATCTGACCACTTAAACAGGCACAAGATGGAACTATGCTCTGCCTGACTGGAGTCATTTAGTCATTCACAGGTAAAATGTCTTCAGATCTCATGCTCTAAAACATCCCCCCCTCTCTGTCAGAGATTGAGGGCAACCACAGTGATGACCAAAACCTGGACTTTTCTGGGCTCCTAGGTGGTGGCTGTAGCAAGCTCTTTAAACTCATGGTGGCTTCTCACCAGATACCACCTGGGTCCTTGCCATCAGGATTCTTAAAGAGTTGAGCAAAGTCACATGAGTCATCCCTTTCCTCCAACATGCTGACAGCTAAGGCCTATTATAAGTAGAATACAATTTTTAAATATCATTATTCTTTATGCAGAAATAATGATATATTCAGTAGAAAAAACAAGCAAGCGAGGAGGCAAGATCATTATCGGGGACGCTACTGAGAAAGATGCATCCAAGAAATCAGATTCAAATCCATTAACTGAAATACTTCAGCGTCCTACTAAAGTGGTCCTACTAAGGAACATGGTTGGCACAGGAGAGGTAGACGAAGACCTGGAAGTTGAAACAAGGAAGAATGTGAAAAATACGGCAAAGTTGGACAATGCGTAATATTTGAAATTCCTGGACCTAACCCATGAGATGGTTTACTCCATGGATAGCGTATTTCCTCCTGAGAAATTACATAAGTAAGCATTATGAAATGTTCCATAACTCTTAACAGTAATCACATTATTAATCTCTAACCAGTACAATTTAAAAATAGTAACAAAGAAAATATATATAAAGGAAAAATTTGTGGTTAAGACACATGACAAGGTTCATTTATACAAAGTAATAAAATTTAAGTTATGGAACAAAACTAGTAAAAAGAACAATGAGAGTCAGTCATAAGACAAAGATTTCAAAGAGCACTTATTCACTAAAGCAAACGATTTGGCTATAGAAACCCACCTAAGTCATGTAATAAAATAGTAAAGAATATGAAAATAGTTACCAAATACAATTGTTTTGCACCCAGTCCATGAACCCAAATTACCAAGGTAAGGTAATCTCAAAACAATAG